ATCTTCAACTCTTCTCTTTTGTATTCATGCTCGACTTTCAAACTACATTGGTAGTGTATTAGTTGTGTACCTGATAGGAAAACAAAAGAAGAAGGAGAATGATCAACTGAGTAGTATGCAACAAACACAGCAACAGCAGATACATAACAACAACACAGCAAAAACAACCAGCCCAACAATGATGAAGCTCACAAGTGATCGAGCAACAAACAAGCAGTCCCAGAAACAGAATGATGAACCAACAGAGAACCAGAATATTCAATGTAACAGCACCAGCAGTTCAACAATCACAAACAGCTCGGCAAATAACCAACAACAATTAGCAAAGACAGCTTGGCCAACTTGAACTCCTAAGCAGTTTTCAGACAGTGTTTGGTTACAATATTCTGAAAATTTCTTTTTGTTTCTTTCTTTCTCTTCAGTTTTTGTAACTCACAAAACCTCTCTGAAGAAAAAATATCCAGCCCCTTTCATGTTCTGAAACCGTCCTATTTATAGGCAGAAATGCCAAGCATTAAGCTGCCTTGAACCTTTTTCCTCCTTCCTGCCCATAACTTCTTTTTAAACTAAAAGTATTCCCCATGCCCATCCATTCGACAGGCCTTCAGCCTGTATTTTCTACCCAAAAGAATGGGCAACCCCTTTTTTATTCAATCAGCCCCATGCTAACAAGTTTGGCTCCCCACTATTACGTTATTTTAATCCTAATCCAGTACCCTATTTGTCAGCTTATTTAAACTAATCATTTATGTTCTTTTTTACACCCAAACTACCCTTGTTAAGCCCTGATTATTACTGTCCTAAACCATTGCAGCATCAGGGCATTTTGAACTTCTGAAAGTTCAAATTCAAAACTGCCCTAGCCTGAGTCTTTTAATTGTTTATAATGCAGTTACAAACTACTTTCAAACAATGTCAAGCAATCAATTAACAACAACAGGTTCGTTCACTCATGTGAAGTTGTATGAATTAGAATATTTGAACCTTCAGTTATAGGAAACTAATCGACGACGTTTATCAAATCGACTATACTAATTATGACAAGAAATAACTAGTCGATCACATAAACAACACGTACAGGGTCCCGAATGGCTTCAGACAACTTCGCACAATCACTGGGAGGCCATGCGAACTATCTATTCGACGACTAATCTCATCGAGCATATATATCACAAGACGTATTCACATATACACAGAAGAACAAATGACCAAATAAAAGGTCTTTACAAAGACGGAAGAAAATTAAACAAAAATACCAGAAACAACAAACAACTACAACAAAACATGCTAACAAATTTAGACAATACTCAAACAAAACTAAAAGGAAAAGGAAAACTTACTGTTGGAGCTTTAACCAAGAACGGACCAGACCTGAACCAGTTTTGACCATTTGAGGCCGAACAAACCTTAATCGGGGTGTTCTCGACCGAGAACACCTTGATTAAAGCCTATTAGGTCCCAAAATCCCCATGAAACTGACCAGATTCCCCAGGTTCTTGTATCCCAGAGTTTGAATCTTCAGATTTGGGATTTTAGGATTTGTGGGTAGAATCGAACCAAACCAAGCTTGGTTTGGTCACGAGGGAGGTCAGGGGGTTGTCCAGTGTGAGTTTGGGTTGGTTTGGTGTAGATCGGGGTTTGGTCTCGAATCTTTAAATCAAGATTCGAGATGATGGAGGGTGATTCGAGGCTAGGGGTAGCAGATTTGGGTTTGGGGTGGTGAGATGCATCAGGGGTGTTAAGGGGGTGGTCACCGGCGTCCTTGCCGCCGGCTTTACGGGGAAGGTGAAGGGGGGCGGCTAGGGTTTGGGACATTAGGGTTGGNTAAAATTGTACCGCAATGCCATTTATTATTTTTGATTTCTTTTGGAGTGATTGTTCGTGGAGCAAAAATCACGTGCTTACATTGTATATAGCTGGGTTTCAGCTCAATTCTTCTATAACGAATAGCAGAGCTTCTTCTCTTCTTTCTTCTTCTCTAAGAAATTAGGTTCAGATCTCATTTGCATGACTCAATTTCACAGTGTAATAAAACAACTCCAATACAACTCGCTCTCAAATTATATTATTACCTCCTTACAATGCAAAGTCGATACTTTTAACCCTGTATAGTTTCTCAGAATTAGAAGGGAAAAAAATATTCATCACCGCCTTCATTCCAATGGCGTAGCCACATAGAAAGAAGGACATTTAGTTGAATACATTTTATCAGAAAGAGTATATAAAAAATTATATAATGTAAATAAACTAAAAATTACTTTTTCATAAAAATATATTAAACCCTAAACACTCTCTGCAACATTGTTGGATCCGCCACTACTTCAGTCATTCGTCTAGCTACTACGGGACCGTTCAGCAGACACGTAAAGTCGAATGTTTCTCTATAATGTTACATAGATAGACTTATTATTGTAGGTGACTGTCCTGAGTGGTTTAACAGAAGTTCTGCTACTACCAACAGAAGAGGATGAGATCGCAAACAAAAGAATATGAGGCTGGCCATCTAAAGGAAAATAATAATAAAAGACTACGAAAAATCATCATGGCGTACGATGTTTTAGTTCTCATTGTCTCCTATAATAAGAAATTTTATAAAAAATGGCAACGGGAAAAAAGAAAAAGAAAATTAGAAGCTAGTTGTAGCTAGAGGTGTACGTAGGTCGGGTTGGTTCGGATTTTACAATTACCAAACCAAACCAATTGTGTCAGATTATTAAATCTAAAGACCAAACCAAACCAAACCAATAAAACTCGGGTTTTTCACTCTCGGGTTTTCTCGGGTTTTTAGGTTATTCGGGTTTTTTCGGGTTTTTTTCCGGTAAAATCTTCGTAGAACAAAACATATATATTGTGCTCAAAATATTTCTTTAATTCTAGTAAGATACAACTATATAAAGTATTTTCCAAGAAAATAATACAAAATATGAGATGTGTCATGGCATTATCCTAGAATATTCAACAATAAAGACAATAAAATTATGTAATATAAATATTGCTAATTAAAAAACCATAATAAAAATAAACATAATCTAAAAGTACTAAGTCATGACAAAATAAGTAGACTAATAAGAGAGTATTAATTACATGACTAAATGCCAAAGAAAAAATAAAAATAGGTTATGCATTTTTATCTAAATTATTGCAAAACAAAATATAGATATTCAATACATTCCCGTTCATAGTATTGAATTGAATGTCTTTTGTTAGCATTAGTATTGATTTGATTTTGGTTTAGGCTTTTATTAGCATTATTTAGTTTACTAATGTTACTGTCTATAAACTTATTGGAACATTCAAATGTTCTAAGTTCAACCTTGAAATAATACCTTAAAAGATAAAATTATGAAAATTTTTAAGAAATATTTATAATTACATCACAATAAGTATATTTATATATTAAATATATTTAAAATTTCTATATATGTAATGTCGGATTGGTTTGGTTTCGGTTTGACTTTATTTAGTTAAAACCAAACCAAATCAATTATGGTCGGGATTTTTTTTCCAACACTAAACCAAATCAAACCAAATCATAGTCGGGTTTTTTTTCTCGATTTGACTCGAATTATCGGGTTGATGCGATTTATCGGTTTCTTTGTACACCCCTAAACTTGTAGCTTATCCATTTTAATTTATGTTTATTCTAAGTGGGGTTTCCAGCCGACGGAAAAAGACAAAACCCAGATGTGAGGTCCCCCACCAAATGTTTCCTTGTAATAATATTATTATTATTAAATTTTTCGCTTACTTTTGATCGATAATGAAAGGACAAACTAATAATTAAAATGTCAAAAGTCATAACGGAAATAGAAAATATGCACACTTGAGTTAATGTTTTTATTTACCCAGATTTCTTAATTGGAGTATACTACGGAACATAAAACAATTACAGAATATCTGGTTCATGCACTTAACGACAATAAACTGTTTCAACTGTTATTTGTACTAGATATTCTTGTATCGATAGTGACAAAATTAATTGGGTGATATACATAGGTAATTCAAGATTTAAATTTTATGGTTCAATCTTTAAATTACTTAGCAGTGAATTTATTATATTTTTAAAACAGAAAGTTCATATCAAATATTTGTTGCAATTTTAATGAATTTCAACACATATATATTTGTTTTCAGCATTGAATCTTCCAGTGACCTATACTGTTAGTGTTTGGAGCTTAAGCAGAACATTTAATTGTTTGCATTTCTAATTAAATAATATAAATATAATTAGGGGGAAATGAAAATTGGGGACACGAAGAGTCACTTCATGTAATGGCAATGTCACCACAGCTGTTTCTTGATATATATATATATATATATATATATATATATATATATCTGTGTGTGTATTGTTAATTATATATGTTATAGTTAAAGAGTAGGAATTTAGATAAAAGAATGATTTTAGTTTTCAAGAACATTTCAATACTATTTTGACTTTCATGTGTAATTATCGATCATATATGTTATTTCCAATTTTATTTCTTTGTGAGTTAAACTGTTGAACCGTATATACGTAGAACGAGAGGTGCATATATCGGCTGCGAATATATTTCTTTTTTGATTAATAAAAGCGACCAATTGCAAATCTTTTTCATGATCTTGCTTGCGGACAACATATCCCCAAAAGCTCCTCAATCTAATTGTACTTTTGCCATTGAATTATCCCAACTTGTCAAATAATTTCCCCCAACTTGCTCTCTTGTTTAATCCAATAATTGCCTCTCCCATTATAACAATTCTTTTAATTAAGTTTGTAAATGTACACTTCCCTTTTAGGTTGGTAATCATGGGAAGACACACATATATAAGTATATAGTATCTCCACTCATATTCTTTAATACATCTTGTAAATATCAACAACAAAGAGATCAAATAATAGCACAAAAAGCTCTTAAAAAAATGGATGTGAAGATTCAAGACGAAAAACATGCTTCAAATATTTGCGTCGCTGGGGAAGTTGAAGTTGAATTATCGTCACTCGAGGATGCTTCCTCGAGTAAAATTTCCTTGAAGGAAATTAAGAAAAATGACTTCAGTTCAAAACGACCTCAAAATGCCGAAAAACACTACATAGGTGTTAGAACAAGGCCATGGGGAAAATATGCAGCTGAAATTAGGGATTCAACAAGAAATGGAATTAGGGTTTGGCTTGGGACATTCAATAGTGCAGAAGAAGCAGCAATGGCTTATGACCAAGTTGCTTTGTCAATGAGAGGTCCATCAACTTGCCTAAATTTCCCTGTTGAAAGAGTTAGGAAAATGTTACAAGAAACAGAATGTAATTTCTTGAAAAATGGATTGTCACCAGCAGCAGCCTTAAAGGAGAAACACAAAAAGAGAAGTAGTAGTAGTGGTAGTACAACTGCTTCAATCAAGAAAGGGAAAAAGAAACAAGTAAATAAGGAAGATAATATTGTATTCATATTTGAAGATTTGGGAACAGATTTATTGGATGAACTCTTGTCTGAGTATTCTAGTTTTTATTAGGGCAGTCAAATGCATAAGGCATCCCGCATTCACATAGGGTCGGGCCGCACCCTTAGGGGTGTAATGTAGACAGCCTATTCTAATGCAAGCAGTAATTGCTGTTTCTACGGCTCGAACCTGTGACCTATAGATTAGACGGAAACAGCTTTACCATTGCTCCAAATCTTCCCTTCTTTTTAGCCTACTTCATTTCCATCTGTAAGTTTTATCCACATAATTCTTCAATCTTTCCTCCTTGTTCATGTTTTTTTTCTCAATTTACTGTGTCCCTTTTATTCAGTAAATTGATTCAAGATTCTGTAAATTCATTTCCTAGACTAGAACTTCATATAAACTTGACCTCTCTTTTTTCCTCCTCCGGTCCCTTCCTCTTTTAATGTGCCAAATTCAGGTTGTACAAATTAATGTAAGTTTATGAACAATGACATTTTATGTCATTCTCAATTTAATTTGGGATATATTGTCACGATCCAAACTCAACCATCGTGATGACGCCTATCGTGGAACTAGGCAAGCCTCACTCAACAAAACTCAACACAATAGCAATAAGTTTGAAAACATTAACAGAAAGCATTTAACATAAAAGAAAAAAAACTGTTTGAAATATAGAAAATCCCAAAGTGATACAATACATGAGCGTCTACTCGAAATACAAATCACTACAAGGTCTAAAGGAAAACAACTAAAAGTACATCAAATGATAAAAGAGGAGAATCAAGGCCCGCGAACGCAGTGTGATGATAGGCTATGATTATTTATTTTAGTCGCTTATTACACTTTAATTTACTGCACTTTAATTGAGTTTGAGTTTAATCGCTAGTGTTTGCATTAAATATGTGTTTTATGCCTTGTAGGAGTGATTCCGATCTATGTAGGCGTTATGGAATGAATTCAAGTGATTTGGAGCTTTGAAGTCTGAGTAAAAGCCTAAGGAATTAGCCTAAGGAATTCAAGTGATTTGGAGCTATTGTGGATCCTCGTGTGGAAGACCCATAAACTGCCCATTTGCATGAAGTAGCTGGATCATGCTTTGTTTCAGCACAAAGTGCCCAGTGATTCTAGGCTTCACAATACTAGAGGTGACATTGACAATGCTGGGCATCACCACCTCCTGAACAACCATGTGTTACTCCTCTGCCATGTTCCCAGGAAATTGAACAAGTGCTTGAATATTATTCGTGTCCCTTGCTTCCCTCAATCTCCTTTGAAATGTTCTCTCGGGTTCAGGATCAAAGCCTTGAAGTCGGTCCTGGCTTTTGACCCTGCGCATTCAATCAAAGTTCCTGAGATCCGAGCAACAATCAAGTAATGTTAGAATCGACGAAATAAACAATTAAAGAAAAAACTAGAAAGTAGTTAATATTCAAGTCCCCGGCAACGGCGCCAAAAACTTGTTTCTCCCTAACGCACACGCAAGTATACGTGGTCGTACAAGTAATAAAATGATAAGTCAAGTGTCGAACCCACAGAGACTTGTATCAACTACACACTAAATTACCAAAATTGTTATTTAGTCAAGCCAAAATCAAGTTCAAGAATGTGATTATACTAAATTATAATTCTAAGTAATGACTAAATTCACAAACAGTAGAATGATTGTTATGTATTCAATGGAGACAAATATTCTAGGGTTGTGATCGATTCACCAATCTTATTGTATTCTCGTTAACTCTTCTTATCATATAATTCACTCATGGTTGCTAATTAATCGATAATTGCTCTCATAGCCTTCTCCCGAAGTACTACTCGCCTATTTAAAATAGATTAACGCCTATATTCCTATAAAATTAATCTATCAAGAATGCATTAAGACTATGATATTTAATTAAGCACCGTGACTAGGTATATTCCTATCCTAACCACAACCCCCTCCCCCCCTCAAAGAGTTCTCTCTTCAATTCTTCTTTAATCTAAACATGGCTTTCCCAAGCATAGCATAGATAGTAAATAGAACCTAACTGCTGGTCAGACAATTAAGCAATTAATCACAGAATTGAAGAAACAACCATATATTAGTGAATTGTAATCAAGTTTAAGTCAACGTTAAATAACAATATTCATGGCTCAATCATAACCCCAGAACAATGGGTTTTTTAGCCACTCATGATATTAGCAAACAATTTCATAAGTTTGGATAATTGAAAATACTATGTGAAGATGAAGAAATCTGAGATATTCTTACTCCCCGATGGATCTTGTGTGTATACTCTCTCAAAAGTGGCGTCCCTAGGTCTAAGCTCCGTCCAAAAAATCCTCAAAATAGTGTTTTTATTTGTATTTATACCAAGTAGGGTCAGGCCCAGACGAAACACCCTTTCCTACACAAAATAGGACTCCGGCTCTGTAAAATTTGTATAGGCGCGCCGCATCCTGCGACGTGCTAGTGAAGATTATCAGCAACCTTGCATTTTTCTTGTCAGACCAGTTTTTACACTGCTGCGCTGCACCCTGCGGCATCCCATACGGCACGTTATTGAGAATTTGCAAAAATGCAAAACATGAAAGTTGTAGTTCTTTCAAATAGCTTTCCAACAATATACTGTGAAGCCCAAACGGAATTCTGAGCGAAAAGTTATGTATATTTTACTAGACAATGTACCGTATGCCCCCTCGATTCTTCGTTTCGTTTTTAACTATCATCCACTGATCCCCGAATACGATCCCGGCTTAATTCCTTAGGCTTTTACTCAGGCTTCAAAGCTCCAAATCACTTGATTTTCCACACCCCGGGGAGGGTTTAAAGGAGTTTTTCCCAATTTAAGTGACAATCGAAATGAGATTATTTTATTTAAAATTCAGAGTCGCCACTTGAGATAGTTTATTGGTGTCCCAAGTCACCGGTTTAAAATTCCGAATCGAGGAAAGTTTGACTCTGTTTTACAATCTGCGAATACAAAAATCCGGGTAAGGAATTCTGTTAACCCGGGAGAAGGTGTTAGGTATTCCCGGGTTCTGTGGTTTTAGCACGGTCGCTCAACTATTATTATTGGCCTATTTATTTGATTTTAAAACATATTTGAAACCTATGTGCATTTTAAAACTCTTTTTTAAAATCGCTTTTAATAATCCAATTGTTATACAACTAATTATTGATTACACGTTTGCGAATCATGTCACGGGAACCGTACCCACGATCCACAACGTGTTTATTTTATTAAAAATATATGGTGGCCGGGTCACATAAATCTACCCCAGTTTTTAGAAATTAAGCATCACGACTGCGTCACGGGAATCGTACCCGTAGCTATGACAGTTATTTAATTAACGGGCCTAAAGCAAACTACGAGAGTACGAGGCATTTTTCATACTATTCTTGTATTTACGTGAGGGCCATAAATTATAGGATTTTATTTGTGTATGGCGCACCTCAAATTTATTTTTTAAAGGAAAAGATTTGTATTTTTTAGAAGGCCAACTAAAGATGCTCCTACTTTAATCTAATTTGAAATTAGGTATCACAACCACGTCACGGGAACTGTACCCGTAGTTGTAATAATTTAATTGCGTGCCTAAAGCAGACTACGAGATTTATTTTAGTACCTAAGTTATAATATTTGTGAGGGCCATAAGTGATTTAATTAGGATGGCTCGCTTCACTTTATTTTTAGGAGTTATGTTTAACTAAAGCAGCCTAAAAGAAAGTTCAGAATTTAATCATGCTAGAATTAAGGCTGGCCTTGGGCCCATAACTATTTAAAGAAAATAAGCCCAAGAACGAAACTGAGGCAGAATGTTGCTCAGCCCCCAGTGGACCGCTAAGTGCCAAGCCCAATTCCACGCTATTGTTAATTAAATCTGTGGGAGGACCAATGAACTGTTTGATCATGAACATTGTAAAGCTTAAAGAAAACATAATTGCTAACATGGTTTGGGCCCTGAAATCGAGCCCAGCGTGCAATACAAAGGCCCAAAAATCACGCCAAAGGTGATCCTGGCTAGGCCATCCGTCTAAGCCCAACTCCTGGCCCAATTCATTTCTAGAGCTAGTTGGCCTTGTGACTATAACTAAAAATAAAAAAAAAAACCTTTACACAAATTCTGGGAAATCAAGATGCTTAACTACATATTACAAATGCTAATTAATAGGCAGTATTAACACCATATTAATTGAAGTCCCCAACTAGTCGCATAATACTTAGCCATACAATCCTTTTCATGAAAGACATGATTCTAACTAAGAACAGAACCTTAGCTTAGCATTTTAGATCAATTAAATGAAAAGATGAAAATCAGACACAAAAGAATATACTCATCACCATGGCACTTCAACATAAAAAAAAACTAGAACTACTACACAAGCATGAAGACCCTTAGCCAAGTCACAAACTGTCATACTGGATCTGAGACTCTAAATAGATCTAAAGACAGAATTCAGAAGAAGAAAATAGTGACAAAGAAAAGAAGAAACGCATAAAATAAAGTTAATACTACTACAAAGACTACATAAACTTAAAAGAGAACATGTGAACAAATCTCATCCGACAACAATATGCCATTCAATTTCCACATTTGGTTACACATTTTAAGGGCAATTACATGCCATTTAAGGTCCAAGAGATACTTGGACACCAAAGCAAGACCAAACGTGAGGAGATCAGCCAATATATGAGCAAAAACAGTAACAATAAAGCAACCACAGCTTTTCCAGAATTAATCTAGGTTGTAAAACTAATCAATTTCATAAAACAATTATAAAAATTCCTTAATCCTAAATCAAAGAGAAAAACTATTATTCTAAAATTAAGATAAAAATGCAACGATGGACTATTTTTTGTAATTTCAATTTTGATAGAACAAATAATTAACTAATTAATCCTAAAAAATGTAAAGACAAAACCTAAATGCAATACATAATATTTTTTTTATATTTTTCATGCTTTTAATAAAAGTAAACATGCACAAAATGCAAACAATTAACACAAAATCCTACAAAATTGCAAATAATTGGGAATTATTTTTTAATTTGTAGGAGTATTTCATATAGAGCAAAAATCACGTGCTCACAACAGCCCCTCTTTGCTCGAAAACACAAAGGGTTTTCTGGCAAAGATAAAGTGAGCGGATATGAGTGATTTTTTCCCGCTTGAATACTTTGTGGGAAGCATTTTTGAAAGATCTGGCCGAACCTTGCTTCTGAGGTTGCCTGCATATCCTTGGCTATAAAGGAGTTATGTCAGTGTAGTTCGGGAAGTTTCGGTAGCTGGGACTACTGGAAAGCTGTGATTTCACTGTTGCTGCTGATGCTACTGCTTGCTGAGCTCCTTATTACACCAAGTCAAAAATGAAAAAAAGCTAGGCTAAACTATGATCTATGAATTACAAGAATCCTATCTACCATCTTCAAACTTGGTCTTGCTGCTTCTACAATTTTGTTGTGCATCTTGCTGTTGACCTGCACTCTCAAGGCAAATCTCTGTTGTTGCTAATGCGAATTGAG